CTCCTTTTTAAGGGCAAAAACCTCCCTCTTCATGTCGGCCAACTTTGCCTGTTTTCAAAAGCTTGCATAGAGAGAGAGTGGGCATGTTGAATGGCCTGAAAGAGCACAGGGCAAAAATTATTACAAAATTTTACAAAGTAAAAGAGAAGACAAGTTTCCATGTAAAGACACTTACTTGGACAGAACGTTGGAGCATAAAGGCATAGTTCTCGTACTCACTCATCTTGGCATTCCGCTCAAGATCACCTGGGAGAAGTAGGGCGATACTGAGTGCTACGCCGACATTAATATCGTCGGCACTATCGCTGGCAAGAACAAGCTTATCTTCTAAAGTAATTTCAGGCATCCAAGGAACTTTTTATATTCTGGACCCCAAGGTCGTCGCAGACGATGACCTCAGTTTCTTTGATTGTGTAGACCCCAATGGCTGTGTCTCAGCTGACCTTTTTTTGCGAACGGAAGCCGTCTTTTCACTCCCTGCCATTTATGAAATTGTCAGGGTATCCTTAACCTCAACTTCAGTGGCTTTAGCCTTTGGCTGGGCTTTCTTGGTTTTGGGAACGGAAGCCGTCTTCTCACTCCCTGCCAATTGTGAAATTGTCAGGGTATCCTCAGCCTCAACTTCAGTGGCTTTAGCCTTTGGCTGGGCTTTCTTGGTTCGTTTCGGCTTTGGTGGGGGTATGGTTTGCGTCGGCTGAGCATCGACATCAACAGGGAGATCGGCAAGGAGGTCTTGAGCAACTGGCTTTGGGCAACCCATCTCAGCAGTTTTGACAAGTCTTCACCGATGTTTTCGTTCTTGTATTGGGACCAAGTATGGGGCCGAAGTAGATGGTTGATTGGTTGGGTCAGATGTTGACTCTTGATCTGTTCGTGATGTAGAGGCGGTTTGAGTTGTGGCAGTAGGAGGAGAAAGGCTTTTCTTCTTTCTTTTGGGGGCATCGGGCAAAATCGATTTGTATGTAGGAATAAAGTTGAGAAGAATAGGTGCTTTTCTTTTGTGAACTGGCAAGTCCAGGAGTTTTTTCAGGTCCTTACTGGGAACGTAAGATTGGCGGAAGTTTTTCGCTGGCTTGCGAACGTCTGCAAGAAGAAACAGACATTAGAAACAGATAAAATATTGAAGACTTGAACAGAAACAACTAAGTATTGACACCGGGCTCTTACCCTTGCCCATTTTAATTGATTGGAGAAGAGGGTAGAGATGGGCGTCCTCGTCTGCGCCAAACACCCAATTTTCCGAAGCAATAACATAATCATCTCCAGCCCCTTTGTTGGAGTCTGGGAGGTCGGCTACGATTTTGAATTCTGTGGATCTCGGCTTAAGATAATAAACGAAGCCTTTTTCTTTCAAGTTAAGAGCACACATGGTGTAACAATACTGTATGTCGGCTAAGGTGATCCTAACGTTTTCTTGTTTAGCTAAGGCGATAATACCAAAAATCACTCGATAAGAGTTGATTGCCAGTTGCATGGGGTTCAACTTATAATAATGAAGAATCTCGCGAAAAAGGATGTTGAGTGGGAGCCAGAGTCCGCACTCAGTAAAAGCTACAATGGGAAGGGGCATGGCGTTTTCTGTAGGCATGATGGAGTCGTCATCCCCAGCCAGTCTCAGGTGGACATCGGCAGGGATGGAGAACTCCTGCCTAAAGTACTCAAGTTTGGTCGGGGTATCTACTCTGTGCCTCCACATACCCATAACGTCGGCCTAAAATCAGAGGCCTAGGTTTCAGAAAGGAGATGCTCTTAAGCGGTTATCGGGACCTCGGCGAAACCCTAGGTATATGCTGGTAAGGATTGTTTCAGTTTTTTCTTAAGAATTGATAGGTTCTATAGACAAATCCCAAACCTAAATCTATAAAGGCAAAGATTGAACGCAAAAATTGAAGGCAGAGATCTGGAAAACAACACAGGAAATAAGAAACCAGAACACAGTTTCAGAATGAAGAACAGAAGTGGGGTTCTCAAAAGCATAAGCAAAAAACAAAATCAACGCATTCAGACGTATGATCTACAAATTGATTACTTAAGTAAAGCAGTAGTAAACAAGAAATTCCAGGAAAGATCAAAAACTGGAATAGAAAGAAACAGATGCTTACCAGAAAAAGGGAGGCCAGAAAGGGATTTGCTGACGTCCTACGACGATTGCAAGAGCAGAAGACCGGTGGAAATCTCGCCGGAAGGGGTGAACGGAGAAGGATGCAGAGCTTTGGAAGCTTGAGTAATGGCAAATTTGAGAGAAAAGAGTTTTAGAGAGAGGAAAAAGCAAGAGAACTCAGATGCAAAAGTGAAGAGATGAAAGAAAGGGGGAAAGATTTTGTCAAAAAATGAAAACGGCGGCAAAAGCAATCAATACGCCTAAAAGAGCGCATACGTCAGACGGCGCATGTGAAGAAGAGATGACTTATGGGCGCGTCACAGGCACGAGCCAATAAGAAAGAAACGCATGTCTAAAACGGTTGAATTGAAATGCATGACAGCTCATGCGCGTAAAAAGTTCCTTAAAAATCTTTGATTTTTTAGGGAAAGTATGTCGGCCAAAAATGAATGATCTCAGCTGTCAAATCTTAAGTCGATTTACTGGAAGAAAATACAGATATAGGTTCCATCACCTCAAAATGCCAAGGTAATAGAACCTAGGGGGCAGTTGTGGGGATGTATTTTCTGAATACCAACACGTGGCAAGGTGACGCCGAAGTCTTAGCTGAAGTGCCACGTGTCCTGGTTGTGACGCCGAGGTTATCTCGGCGAGGCCGAGGTTATCTCCGAAGATATCGGAATCCGAGATAAGCGGATAATGGATAAGGGGCAAGAGTCCTAGAGTAAAGAGAAGACTTTGCTAAGATAAGGATAAAGCTCTTAGGGAGTTTATCTTTATCTCTTAAGAAATCCAAAGTAATTACAGAATTAGAGTCCATAGAAGTCAAGCTTCTAGTGGGACTAGGATTGAGTAAACTATAAAAAAGAGGCACCCCCGTGGGTCTAAGGTACGTAGTTTTATGCTTTGAATAGTGAGTTTAGCACTTTATTATCTTTGAGAGATATACTGACTTGATCGTCGGAGTGCCCCCGGGTGGAAGAGCCACCGCCGGAGCCTTTTCTTTCTGTTACAGGTTTACTGAAGCCATCTATTCTGCCGGTGCTCTCCAGCTGATTAGTAGGTGGGCAGTGTGGTCAGAAAATCACTCACACACACATCATATATATCCACATTTACATATACCGTTCAAAACAATAAATCCACGACATGCCACTCTAAACAAAATGGGGATGGTCCATCATTTACATATTAGTAATGTATTTATATCCGTAGCAAAATGGAATATACAGAAGAAACCCCAAAATAAAACAAAAGGGTTTAACTTGGAAGCCTTAACAGAATGAACCAACAAAAGACTCCTGGAGCTGACCTAGGGTTGATCTCCGGGTTGACCACTTACAAAACATACATGAATACGAAATGAGTCAAGCTCAGTGAATAATAGTAATGTACTAACGCATGTAAATGAGTATGTACATAACTCATGTATGTCCTTTTTGATTAGCAGAACGGCCTCGGGCCCAATAATAACAGAACGGCCTCAGGCCCAATAATAGCAGAACAACATCGGGCCCAATAATAGCAGAACGGCCTCGGGCCTAATAATAGCACCATAAATAAATCCCATCTCATATCTACATTCTATATTCTTTTTTCTTTTTTGTAACTCGTTCATTTGAATAACATAATTTCAGAAAATCACGCACTAACGTATCAAAAGAAATATAAGTGTTTTACACTACTATTACTCACAGTGATTCGGTCGTGCACTGGTCTCTTTTGGTGAGTGACCTACACATCTCACACAAAAACTGATAAGTAATGCATCATTTTTCTTAGTTTCTTGCCTTCTATCTTTATTTCTTGTTGTTCACTTCCCATTCATTTTTAGGTGTTTCGGAGGCATAAAATATACAGATTAACTGGCTCGAAAGGTCAAAAGGGGTATCAAAAGACAATAGAAATTTTCTCTCTTTCCCGAACGTGCGAAGGGTGTGTCACACGTGTGGCCCGCACGCGCTTTTATTTCAGAAAACCAACTTCTACCTCCCCTGTTTTCTGCACGTACGGTTGTGCTTCCCGCACGTGCGGCTGTGCTTCCCATACATGCGAGCATGGGCCCCACACGTGCGGTTATGGCTCTGTTTGTGCAGTCCGAAAATGCCTAAAAATCAAGCTTTCCAAACACATTTTCAAGGCTCAAATTAAGTAATTTCCCTCCAAATATCATGGTATAAGTACATAATAAACATGATACACAACTCAATGAGATCAACTCCCCTTTAATTGGACAAACAACACTTTAATTTCTATGAATCTCCCATCTTTCTTCATCTTTATATATATATATACACATACACACCCATATATACACATACATACCTAAATTCAAGGCATGCAAGAGATAAGATTAAATGACAAAAGCCAACTCAAATCAACTTAAATGAAGGAACCAACTCTTACATCAAGTAATTGTAGTTCAATTCCATGGAAAGTGTTTCAACCATAACATACCCATAAACCCTAACCTTCATAAGTGTCAAAGCTTCATTTTAAGTCTTGATTCTAATCAACTAGGGAAAAATATATATAGTATTCTTGGTGATAGAAACATACCTTAAGCTAGAGTCCTTAAACTCCTTCAAATCTTCAATCTTCAACTCTAGATGAAATCCCCATTTTCTTCTTTCTTTTCTCTTTTTTCCTCTTTCCAGGAGATATTTTTGTTTTGTTTTTGTTGAGTCTAATTGTTAACTCTAAGGCTCATAAGGCCCCTCTATTCCTACTAACCCAAGGGTCAAGCTTAATTAATGGTTTAAACTAAATAAATCAAATTAATTCATTACGAATCAAATTTTTACAAAATTTCATATTATGTCCTAAAAATCATGCTCATCATAACTGTAAAATCAATTTTTGGTTATCGCGCCTATGGCTTTCAATTTCTAGTCTAAAGGACACAATTTCAATAGATTTTCTTATAATGGACAGATAGAAGTTAATAGACATACAATTCACACACTAGCACATGGATTTTTGTATTCAACACATAAACACACATATAATCACACCCCTAATGAGGGATTTAAGTATATGAGAGGGTTGGGTTATTACATGTACTCTAAATTTCATCTAGAAATGAAAAAATGACCAAAATTTGGTCGAATTCGACTTTTTTTGAAGACAATGTCTTTGGCAAGTCTCAAAGTTATCATTCGATTATTGATAATTTTGGTCCCCTGTAGTTGTTGATCTCTAATGTTTGGAAGATGATAGAAGATCAGCATAATATTGGTCGATCCAGCCTTGGATGATCTTAACCTCTGTGTTTCGTTGATCTGTCAACCATTGAGGATCACTTTTGTTTGTTGGAAGAATATCCAAGCAATGGGATCCTGCAAAGATAAATTTCATCAGATATATATGAGAAAAGAGGTCTATATTATATATTGCCAAATAAATTTTTTTTTTCTTTTCATTTTTTTGGTGAACTCATACATGTGTTATATATACATATAGGTCTCATCATATCGGAAAAGAAAATCGATTGCAATTTATAAGTTTTATCAAGGTGGATTGGACATGGAGCCATCACGAGTTCCACTCTACTGATTTAATCTGTTCATTTTGTAGATATTTGCATGTATATCGTTTGCAAAAAAAAATCATATTAAGACAATAATTTTAGCCATAGTATTTTCATCATATTTTGTTGTGTCAATACATACACAACAAAAAAATACAAAAATTTTGTGAAATGCTTATACTAGCAGTGATTCAGATCCTTTTCATTTCATAAATTGAATGGAGATCTTCATTTTATAATCAATGGCTGAAAAATTTATATCCATAAATTTGTATTTTAAAAGTGAAAAACAATTAGGATATGTTTTAAAATTTATAATAAGAGAAAATTATAAATTATTGATTTTAATTGTGATGATCTATTATAATCATTTTATCTTCAATGAAGAAGATCAAAATCCAAACAAACAAATGTATACCCATTATATGTATGGCATTATTTATTGTACCGATTGATATAGATGAGTACATACCGTTAACAGTATAAACTGCAACAACACTTTCTGATATGTCTTGCAACACCCTGCAATTATTTATCAAGACAGAATTAAACTCGGGACAACCAGGTAATTTTCTTTCAATTTTTTTTTCTTCTTATTTGTAAAAAGGCATATTTTTCACATATACCCTGCACAGCTGTAAGGATCTCTTAGGCCATTGGAGAAAATTATGTTGCTTGCAAACCTCTGGAGAACTGCTTTTATATCCTACAAATTGCATTTCAAAATATGTGAGTTTTCCACACGCATTCAAAGGAAAGTATCATTTTTTTCTGATTTTTTTTTTTTCTTTGACAAGTGCAAGAAATTTATTATCAATCAAATATAGCCAACAATGACTATCTTCGATATGGGGGTGAGGAGAGAAATTAGAGCTTTAGGATTTGTGGGCTCAAATGTAATTTTATGTAAGAATAAAATTGTAATAAAAATATTAAAATGAAAGTATAATGAAGAAAAATGACGGTATAAATTGAATCACCCTGCATAGTGCACAAAAAATAGTAATAAATTTAACAGGGAATCACCATTTAGGGCTAATTTTTAAAAATTATTATATGTTAATAAAAAAAATTATAATTATAATTATTAATATTTATAATATTTACCATTTATTTGTAATTATTTAAATTAAATAGAGAAGAATAAATGTAATTATTTAAATTAAATAGAGAAGAATGAAGAGGACATACATGGCCTCCATAGTAGGTTGTGACCCAATGAGGCCTAGGTGGGACCCCAAAAGATCTTACGCAATCCTCAGTGAAGCTGGTTAGATTGAAAGGCCATGCAAAAAACATTGTATCGTTGCTACCTCGGCCAATGGGCATCACCATCTCACTACATGTCTACGTAAATAAAATCAATAATCTTCAATTAGACAACTAAATAGCAATTTGATTCTGATTTTCAGAAAACAATTCTATTGTGTTTAATGATTTTTTTTAATATTGTACGTGATTTTTTAAAAATTTTTAAACACACCTAACATAAATATACTTAAAAAATATAATATATGTAGAAAAAATCTTAAAAAATACAAAAAAATTATGAACACATGTTATAACAACGTAATTCAAAATTATGAATCTCACCTATTATACAAATTATAAAGACTCATAGTTAATAAAATTATCTCATATTTTCTGTTAGTATACTAATTAATATATCAATTCACATGTAAAACTTTATTCACTAATAAACTATCACACAATTCTAATAAGCACACAAAATAAAGTGACCTTTGCATTCCGTGTGGATAGTCAGTGAGAATAAAAAAAATGATTGTATTTTTTATTATTATATATATATTTAGATAAGTAAAAAAAATAATGTATGCAAGTGAGAAATATGAGGGTGATTTTTTTTTTTCTCTTACTTTGTACTTTAATGGACAATATTGGTATTATAAATATTTTACATTCTCACCAAATCTCTTTCATGAGAAATTAAATAAACTTAGTAAGAAAGTTCTATCTCTCACCATTTCTTATCATTTTTAACAATTTCTTACTCAACTTATAAACTAACTATAAGAAAATAGTTCGCTTATTATTTCTTATCATTTCTTACAAAATCACCCAATCCAAATAGAATGATAGTTGCATCAATAATAAATTGAGAAAATTTTATTTTTGTCCCTATATTTTCTCACAATTTTCAATTACACCCCAGACTTTGAATAATTTTAATTTTACCACCAAAGTTTTTGAAATCGTATCTGTTAGGTCTCTTTGTGTTATCAATTCTGCAAACAAACATATTTAAATTGTATTTCAGTGTTTTGTTTTTCCTTGGCCCGCTTGAGCACAACATTGGTGGTTGGAGCGAAGAATCTTGTCTTTCAGTAGTTTAGTCATGTTTGCATAAATATTGGAATGTTTGACTCTGCGCTCAAGCGAACTTTTTATCGCTCGGGCGAAGGCACTTATGGTTTCTCCGTGTACACTATACACTGCCCGAACGACAATTTCTTTACTAGAGCGATCAGCGCAACCTTGTTTTCTATAAAGCTACGCAAAAGACAAATTTTAGGGTTGCAACATCCAAATCTAAAACCTAAGATTTTATTCTTGTTTCTGGAGTTTTTTTTTTTTCCTTGTTTCCCTTAATGTCTTTGTGAGATTGATCGCATCACATGAGTTAAGTTGATCACATCAAAGTGGTTTGTTTGATTCTTCTAATTAAAGAGAGTTTGATTAGTGGATTCTGAAGGTTTGAGCGGGAAGGCTTTGAAGGAGTTCAAAGTGGCTTGTTGTTGTGGACTCAATGTGGGTGTTGTGGATTCAGCATCAACCTAATCAATTAAGAGACGAAAGCGTTGGTGAAAGAGACGCAAGTGGTGAAAGACAGTTCTTCAGTGTGTTGAGTAATTGTTTCTAATCTTGTGTATTTTCATTATCTTCATAATGGATTGATTAGTGACGTTTCGCTTGTAATTTTTTTTTATCACAATTAGAGGTGCTCCAGTTGTAATTTTTTCAAGTTAAAATCGTTTGTGTCGATTATTAATTGTAAAACAATAATCTAAATCACTTTCGTATGTATTAGATGGTTTAGATTGCTAGTTTTGTTCGTTTGGGAATTGTGGCAATTCAGTTTATTTCGAATCATGAATTACTTAGGTTTTTCAGTATCAATTTTGCCCTTGTCATCAAATCTAAAACAATTTTTTTTTTTAAAAAATAAATATATTTTGGTCCCAAATTTCAAAAGAAAGATGAAAACTCACCATTTCCTACCCAAATTTACCCTCTCCAGCACACTCTCTGGCAACTCACATCACCGCGACCCCCACAACACCATTGTCGCAAACCTACTCACCCTCCTGTTGAAATGAACAAAAACCCACATACTAAAATGAACAAAAACCCACACTTTACACACAACCACCATCATCAGAGCAAAATCACCTCCTTAAATGAGAAAAATACAAAAACAGAAAAAATAGAAACCCAATTGGTAAAGTGAATAAACCAACATTTTTTCCAAATCCTAGTCATCTCTAGATAAATTATGTTGCATACACTATAAATATCAACAACAAAACACACCCATTTGCTAAATCAAACAAAACCCCCTTGGTTAATTGCACGAAATCCCAACACATGCTTACTAAAGTGATCATCATCAACCAAAAACACCCACTTCATTTGATAGCACAAACATAGATATATATATATACACATATACATATACGTGAAGTTGATGAAGGGATGAAGAGATGAGATGATATTTATATATATACACCCCAAATGATATATAAATATATAGATGATTTGTATATATATAGATAAGATGAGCATTAACTTCATCAACTTCATCAATATCACCACCCGAACCAGCAACTTCACCGCTACCGAACTCCATTATCGCCACCATGAGCATCACCATCATTGCCATCCTTCAATACCAAACCCACCTCCTTCACAACCAAGTTCCATTACCACTACCATCAAGCTCCATGACCACCATTACTGCAAACTCTGCTGCCATCACCGGACCACTACCACCACCATCACCAACTTCGTTATCACCTAGAACTATGTTTCACATCATGTTATAAGTGAAAAAGAAGAAGAAGAAGAAGAATGAGGAAGATGGAGGAGAAAAAAAACAAAAGATGAATATTTCAAAATTTTCGAAGTTAGTTTTCAGACAACTTTCGGCATACCAAAACTGCCCATTACATGAAGAAGTGAGAAAGCAAGATAATGTTGAATGAAATAAGAAGTGAGGTGAAGAGAATGGTGAAACAATGAAGTAAAACTGTCAAGAATCGAGAAAGATATAAAGTCTGAAAGATGGCTTGAAGAAAAATCAACAACAGAAAGAGAAGTTTTATATTCTTTATCAACTTTTAGAGCTCCAATAGCATGCAAAAAGAGGAAGAATAAGACGTGCGAGAAGTGATACAAAAATTGAGCCGTGAGATGAATCCAATGACGTAAAAACGAAGCGAAATAAAAGTATGAGGAAGGAAATAGAAGGGCTTGAAGTGGTGGTTGATAGTGGTGGTTTGGTGGTAGAAGAGAGCGGGTCTGCATCTTTCTTTTGAAATTTAGGGCCAAAGTATAATTTTTTTTTAAAAAACTTTTTCCACTTTAGATTTGACGGCAGGGGCAAAATTGATACAATTTCAAAAATTTTGGCGTAAATTGAAATTATTCAAAATCTGAGTGTGTAATTGAAAATCAAGGCAAAGTATAGGGGTAAAAATAAATTTTATACATATAATTATTTCCCAACCCATGTTTTAATATGATTATGGATAACATAAACTACACTAAACTTATTTTACCCATTTAAAGTCGTGTCAATTTTTCATTATATTAAAATTATCTTCACACTTGGTTTTAAATTCGATTATATTTTTATTATTTGAAGAAAAAAAATATATGAAAATGCATATTTTTGGGGACAATGTTACTGCATACATCAAAAAATACTTTAAAATTATTCAAAATTTGAAATATGTTAGTCGTATTCACTTTTTAGGTCTTAATAGATAGATCATTTTTGAAAAATATCAATTATAATCCCATAATTATTTTATAACTTTTTCTACAAAAATAGAAGGCATATTTTTTAAATCAATTTACTTTTTGGTCATGAATGTCTATATGATGAGACTTAAAAAAATTAAACAGAATGAATCATCTACCCATCAAATTAGATAGTCCAATCCACTTTAGTGTACCAGGTTGGATTTCATTTTTTTTCATAAGTGAGTCTCATGCACATTTATTAATGAGTCTTATTACTTTATTAAAATTAAAATAGGATTACTATGAGCATGTTTCGTAACATTTATTTTTAGAATCTTTTGTTATATTTATAGAGTTCTTAAAAAGTATAGACTCCCTTTTGGCAGCCACCCCCACGACCCCCTTTGCCTCTCATTGGTTGAAAATTTTTTTTTTTTTTTTCTTCTACCCCACTCACCAACCCCCACATGTGTGCGGGGGTGGTGGGGGTGAGAATCTGAGGGGGTCTGTATCTGCTCTAAAAAATTAATTTGATTTCTATTTTCATTTTCAAAAAAATTATAAATAATTTACAAAAAAATTTAGAAACACACAAAATAAAAATAAAAATAAAAACTGACTTACTTGCCAATCCCAATCCCCATAAGGGTCACGAGAATAATTGTGGTGGCCATTCACATAACATGACCTGTTAACTGTGGCAGCAACAACGCCGGCAAATATCCGACTAAGAATATCAGTTCCGTTAGGTGCTCCGTCAATGCCACCACATACCACCGTTACTGGATATCTTGGTGGTCTATCATATTGAGCTGCACGCGAATACAATCCGTCTAAATAGTCCTTCAGCTCAAACGAATCGCTCAACGGGCTGGGAAAAAAAAAATGTAATGACAGATATTGAATTAAATACCCTCTGTTTCTTTAAAGTTGTATTTGGATCATAAATTTTTGTAGGAATTTGAAATGGTAAACGTTGATGAAATATAGTTATATTTCATTCATATTTCAGTTATTCTATTTTTATTTTATTTTTTCATTTTTAAATCCTTACACAAATTGATGATCCAAACGTAACATATTTTTTTTCTATATTTGCTTGAAACTAATTTATTGTTAGTAGTGGTGAGATTGGTGGTGGTGACTATAGAAGTGTGGTGATGTTGATAAAATTTTAATTTGAAAAGTATTTTCCATCCCTTAAAGGTTGAAAATATTATGGAAAATATTTTTCTTCTGCATAAGTTTATTTTGTATAGATTTTAATTTTCCATTTGTACTTATAATATGGAAAATATTTTTTATCCAAACAAACTGACCTCAAGGGGTGATTTTCAAATTGCAAAAATGTTGTGTATGCAAAAAAATTACCAAAATTTAAATTTATAGCATATATTTAAATTTGATATAATATGGGTCATACTTATAGTAATACGATCCTCACATTCCAAATTCATAGTACTTTTTTAAAATACTTTTTCTACAAGGGGTATTGATAAATTCTTTTCTTATAGCAATACGATCCTCACATTCCATAATTATTTTCAATGGGTATTATGCCCCTGCACTTTGTAATGTTTATATATATATATATATATATATTGTGGGGACATAATTTTTAAATGACAACACGTGGTCGAGGTGTCACCGAAGTGCCAGCCGAGGTGCCACGTGTCATGATCATGACGACGAGATTATCTCGGCTAGGCCGAGGTTATCTGCAAAAATGCCAGAATCTAGGATAAGCGGATAAGGGACAAGAGTCTTAGAATGAGAGAGGACTTCAGTTTAGGTAAAGATAGGACTCTTAGAGAGTTTGTCCTAATCTTACTGGAGGTCCAAGATTAGTAGTAATCCTAAGTTCATCAGAGTTAGGTTTCTATTGAGACTAGAATTGTTTTGGCTATAAAAGGGAGGCACCCCATTGGTGTAAGGTATGTCTTTTATACTCTGTCTAATGAGTTAAGCACTATTGGTTATCTTTGAGACATATTTTACTAACCCAAATTCATAGTACTTTTTTAAAATACTTTTTCTACAAGGGGTATTGATAAATTCTTTTCTTATAGCAATACGATCCTCACATTCCATAATTATTTTCAATGGGTATTATGCCCCTGCACTTTGTAATGTTTATATATATATATATATATATATTGTGGGGACATAATTTTTAAATGACAACACGTGGTTGAGGTGTCACCGAAGTGCCAGCCGAGGTGCCACGTGTCCTGATCATGACGACGAGATTATCTCGGCTAGGCCGAGGTTATCTGCAAAAATGCCGGAATCTAGGATAAGCGGATAAGGGACAAGAGTCTTAGAATGAGAGAGGACTTCAGTTTAGGTAAAGATAGGACTCTTAGAGAGTTTATCCTAATCTTACTTTAGAGAGTTTATCCTAATCTTACTTTAGAGAGTTTATCCTAATCTTACTTTAGAGAGTTTATCCTAATCTTACTTTAGAGAGTTTATCCTAATCTTACTTTAGAGAGTTTATCCTAATCTTACTTTAGAGAGTTTATCCTAATCTTACTTTAGAGAGTTTATCCTAATCTTACTTTAGAGAGTTTATCCTAATCTTACTGGGGGTCCAAGATTAGTAGTAATCCTAAGTCCATCAGAGTTAGGTTTCTATTGAGACTAGAATTGTGTTGGCTATAAAAGGGAGGCACCCCATTGGTGTAAGGTATGTCTTTTATACTCTGTCTAGTGAGTTAAGCACTATTGGTTATCTTTGAGACATATTTTACTGACTTGATCGTCGGAGTGCCCCTGGTGGACGAACCACCGCAAGATTCTTATCTTTCTGTGACAGATTGTTTGGGCTTAATCTATTTTGCAGGTACTGTCCAACTGAGTGCTTGATTGGCAGTGTTGTCGGAAATTGACACACACATATATATTATTTTCTTACACAAAAATAAAGTAAAATAAAATAAAGCAGAGTTAGTAAAAACAAGAAGAAAGAAGAAAAATGAGGGTGGGAATGATTGAAATGCCGTGTTTATGGTGTTTGCCACTTAAAAAAAAAAATTTAAAAATTTTAAACATTTAAACTCTACTCAATTAGATGAATCAAAAAAGTAAAATAAATTTTTAAAATTAAAAATAGTAAAAAAAATTAGTTATTTTTTTTTTAATTTTAAAAAATTAGGTTTTTTTAAGATTTTATTTTCAATTTTTTTTGTGAACCAAACAAGTACAAAAGAAATTGACAGAAATTAATAAAAAAAATATCGTCACAAACAAAAAAAGATCAAAAAAAAAATGTGACTTTTTTAGAGAATTACTATATATTACCTTTGAGAGGGACCATGTGACTCTCAGAGCTTGTTTGAGATCTGGATTGACATTTTTACTTTATGACTTTTTAGTTATTTTAATTGGGGATTAAAAAGTCTTATTTGGGATAAATTTTTTAACTTTTTCGACTTTTGTGAGAAAAAAAATGAAATAATTATGGATTGAATATGACATTTTATCTTATTTAACTAAAATAACTTATTTTATCTAATATGACTATTTAAACCCAAATGTTCTTCCCAAACAAGCTCTCTGGCCGGTTAACAAATGAGGTGGATAGGACTTAATTGGAAGTATGAAGGGTCAATTGTCACTTTTTAAAGGTCAGGTGGTAAAGTCAAATTAAATGTAAAATACAGGGATGTTAAATGTAATCCCCCCCACAACCCCTCTCCTTTTTTTTTATTTTTTTTTATTTTATTTTTTTATATATCAAATGCAAGTTTTAAAATATAGGATAAATTATGTAAATGGTCCATATAATTTATATGATGTGTTAATTTAGTCATTTTTTAATTTTATTTTAATTTGTTTGATTTTGCCTTTTAATTTAATAGATTGTGTCATATTGGTCAAATAAATAACACTTATTAGGTTTGGTGGACGGAAACTCAAACGACGTGTCAATTTGGTCCCTGTAAAAATCGAGCAAATTAAAACAATAGAGACCAAATTGATACATCGTGTAAACTACAAGAACCAAATTGACACATCGTTTGAGCACGTGACAACTTTTGGTTCATCAAACCTAACAACCGTTATTTATTAGATCAATATAACACAATCCGTTAAGTTAAGGGATAAAATCGAGCAAATAAAAACAATAAGAACGAAATTGATACATTATATAAACTATAAGGGCCATCTACATAATTTGCAAATCCAAGTAAGGTTGTTTTGTTTGTGATATTTTAAAAACACAAATTTAAATTCTTTTTACAATAAATGAGTTAAAAAATGTGTTGTGTTCAAAATAAGTTCAAAACTATTTAAATTACAAAATACTGATCTCAAACAACTTATACTTGACAAAAAAATAAAATACCAAACTATACTTGCTTTCCTATTCAATTTTTTTAAAATTTTTTTTTATTTAATGGGAAACTATACTTATCCAATAGTTTCTTCAAACTAACACTACAAAATTTTGTTGTGAATTTAATCAAAGGACAGGTGGACTGTGCAAATTTACTAGCATGTGTTGAATCTTTGACTGAGGGTTGAGAGGCCATTGGGCTGGGAAGCAACTTCATCAATTACAGACCACGATTGTTTTATTGTCTCGTAGCAACTCTCACTAGCCTCCTGAAAATAAAAAGAAAAAAAAAATTAAAAGAAATAAAAATAAAAACTAGATTCGGGTTATTTTTCAAACTAGGGTTTTTCGAAAAAATTAAGGGAAAAATTACACCGTTAAATCTACTAATTTTAGTGAGGTTTCACTTTTGCTTCTGTAATTTTAATCCTACACTATTATTTTTATTTCAATATAGTAACAAAGACGATTGGTTATGTTGGTCTTATGACAAAAGGACTACACTGTAATAAAAACCAAAACATATCATTAAAAATAATGAAATTGGAGCCATGAGTATCAAATTGTAGGAATCAATGATGCAATTTATTCCAAAAATCATTTCTCAAATGCAAGTTCTTCAAAATTTATTTACCAAACCTGAAGTTGTTTTATAAAATCATGTTTTTAAAATGTAACTTGAAATTTTTTTATAATAAATAAAATACGGCTTTACAAAAATATATATATGATCAACATGAGTTTCAAAAATATAGTTTGAAAACTCTTTAGCTTGGTTTTTTTTTGTTTTTTTAAAAAAAAAAAAAAATTACTTTGAAATCTTTGGAGACAATTGAATAGTATCCATTTTGGGGAATGATGTCATCAAAGTAGAGGATGGGAGCTGATGAGGCCAGAGCTCCAAGAGCAATGTGAGGATACTTCAGCCGAAACCATGAAGCTAGCACTGTAAAATTTTAATGAAAAATGATAAATTAAATAATAAAAATAATGATAAAGGTATATTATAGGATTTAATAATAAAATAAAATATGGACATTGTAATAATAACTTACTTCCTCCATAAGATCCTCCAATGACAATAACTGGAGAGTAGTGTGCAGATAATTTTTCTTTCAAATATAAGATCACCTCTGCATAATCTGCTATAGCCTGAGCTGAGCTAAAATAACCTTGATTTTTTTTCACTGGTCCAAATGGAACTGATTGTCCATAAAACCGGTGCTGCCAAGATATATAAAAATTAAAAATGAATAATTCTTTAAAGTTTTTGATGACCCATAAAAGGATCTTCAATCCTTGCATTTCAATACAAAAGACAGTTAGCAATTAGGACTCCAATGGTTCTTTCATTCATGCATGGTATGTACAGCAGCATAAAAATTAATTAAATAAATAAATAATAAAAATAACCAAATTTTTAACCCAAAAAAAGAAAATAAGTTCAAAACTTGGAAAGTTTTACAAAATAACTAACTTTTCAGATATTTAACAATTTAAGCATCTGAGCTTCTCTCAATTCCATTAATGTATTAGAGGATACATTTGAGCTATAGGGACCACCACATGGGCTATTCTCGATGTTCAATTTTGTAAATATTATTTACCTATGGTGCATATTATTCATAAAAAAATTAAATTAAATTAATTCAATAATTATAATCACATAATTTCATTGTATTAATTTGTTAGTAAATTCATAAAATCGAACGTGCATTCATAGCTATTATTATCGATTAATCCAATTTTTTGTTAGATCATTGAACTATCCACATGATGGGCCCACATATTTGGATTAAACCATATAATTTATTTAATATATGAGAGAGAAGCCTAATTTTTAATTAAAATAAATAAAAAAGATCAAAATAAATTTTACCAAAATGTCACAAATTATGTGTAGGTAAGTACCTCTATGTAAACTATGAGAGCTTTAAAATTTGGGGCGTTTTCCGGGAGAAACCCAGTGAATTGTATATCACCATCTATTGGTGCCTCTGCACCAAGATAAACAAAGATTGGAGCACTTTTATTTGCACCACCCCAATACTTAGAATTTATCACATATCGTTGCTTGAATATGGCATAGCTTTGAGGGTTGTAGTTGAAGTGATCAAGTGTTTGGTTGTAAAAATAGGTTTCCAAGTCATCCCAAACAAACGCCGGAATGGTGTCAGAAAGGTCTCTGAGGGATGTACGGTCAAATACACTGAGTCTTGGAATATTATGTGGTATTGCAGAAACAGAGGTTAAGAGAATTATAAGAGATAATGAAAGCCATCCTGATGAAAAAGCAATTGACTTCATGGGAAAGTACTATAAAAATTATGCAAGAAAGTTTTAGTTTGAGCCTCAAAGTTGGTTTGAAATACACAATTTATAGCACCAGAACCCGTACCATTCAAAACAAAATAGTTTGAATGGCACAGGTGTTTTATTATATAAAGTTTGAAACTACTTGACAGGTATTTAAAACTAAACTAATAGAAAGTGACAAAAAATTGAATGAATTTTATAGTATATATGAATTTGACTAAAACCTTCCGGATTTTTCTAATATAAAAAGACAAGAAAATAATAGTAACTAAAATGGGAAGAGGGACGGCCATGTACCTAAAATGTTTCTTATGAAACAACGTGATCAAGAAAATACATATAGAATCATGCCAAAAAAATACCTTTCATTTATGTATTCTCCTTTTTGGTTTGTTCCTTTCTTAGAAATCACGATCAACCTCATTATTGTATAGTCCATTCCTCTAGATAACGATCGGATTTTCTATATTTTAATAATGATGTTAAACTTTGTTATGTTGGACAAAAAATTTACTTTGATTAATTCGTATAAAGGTTTTAGGCATCAAATTTTATTTCAGAAAATATTTAGTAACCAATTATTGTTATCGCTAGGGTCGAGACTAAAAAGTTGTCTTGAAAAGTTAAAAAGAAAAAAAAGAAGAAAAAAGTACTTTTAGAGACAAAAATTTAAAAATATTGTTAATAAATTGGTCCCTACAAATTAATTTTGTCCTTAAATTTTGGTCCCAAAAATCTTAATTTTTTTGTGGTGAATGCACTTTTATAGATAAAATAATTTGTATATCGAAAAGGATTACTTTTTTAAATAACATTCTTGATTCTAAAAGAAAAGTAATTCATCACTAAATAATTCTGTCACTAAAAATACAACAATCACACTTTTAGCAACAAAAATAATTTGTCCCAATTTTTTTGTCTTTAAAACCTTAATTTGTTATAATATCATCTAGAAATATAACTTCAATTAAGAAAATTAAACAATTAACTAAGTTTAGAAAGATCAAGGGAAGATTTCGATAAATTCTACTAGCATTTCATATTAATAGAAATAGCGCCACATATTTTTTATTTTTATTTTTGCAATAAATCAACGCACATACAAAAAGGAAAAACAAATTTTATTAGGGGCTCTTGACATTTCATTCATCACATTCAAAGCCATGTATGGTTCATGACTCAATCAACTAGACAAGAAGAACAAATATGAAAGAGAGCATTTTTAAACCCTACAATGATTTTGAGTCCAACTTTGGATGCATAATTATGGGTTCAATCTTCAATCAAATTGTATCCTTCGATTGTTGATACTTTTGGAGTGGTCTCTTGTAATTGTTGATCTAATGTTTGGAAGATGATTGAAGATCATCATAATACTTCTTGATCCACCCTTTCATGATCTTGACCTCTTCTTTTTGTTGATTTGTCAACCATTTTGGATCACTGTTGGTTTGTCCGAAGAATATCCAAGCAATGGGATCCTGCAAAGTCAAATTTCACCAAATATATCAGAAAAGATGTTTGTTTTATATCACCGGTTAAATTTCACTTTTTTTTTTCATCATTTGTGTGACTCCATATAACATATGTCATATACATATATATAGGGGCCTAATCATATATAGAAAAGGAATGGATTGTCTTCAGTTTTGAGTACACCACAAGTCTCATTTTAATAATGCAATATACTTATTCGTTTTTTAAGTTCTTGAGTGTAAATATCCATTCAAATTTTTTTTTAAAAAGAAATTAATAAAATTGATCTGATAATTATAGCTTATATAATTTCATTATTTTTTTAAAAAATAGATGACAAGCATAATTTTAAAAATATTTCCATCCATTTTTTGGGAAAAATTGATGAAATTATTATTAAAATTATCAAATTAATTTAATTGATATTTTATTTTTTTTTAATGGATGATATATACTAAAAACTTACAATCTATTAGCTAGACGGTCCAAGACAAGCTGCATCTATCTAGAGTTCTATGGCTTATTTTGCCAACTCAGCTAAAAGTCATTTTGTTGGCTTTTTGATTTTTTTTTATCACATAACCTTTTTGTATATTTTTTCACAAAAAATCAAAAAAACTAAAAAGTAAACTTTTAACCCATTGTCCAAATAACGTTTGCCATGTAAATCCACACACAATTCAAAAAGATAGAAAAACAACAAAAATTAAAAAGTAAACTTTTAACCCATTGTCCAAATAACGTTTGCCATGTAAATCCACACACAATTCAAAAGATAGAAGAACAACTATTGAATAAATATATATATATATATATATATAAGCAAACAGATGTGTTGATTGTTTATTGTAGAGATATAGGTGAGCACATCCACCTACTATTATAAATCTACTTATCTATTACTATTATAAAAGTGTAAAGAACTTACTATATTTTCTACTTTTTTTAAATCTCAATTTTACTTTCTCAAATGTACTATATTTTCGAAAAGTCATAAAAGTCCTATATAAACCAACTACATCTTTATTTTTAGAATTGAACACTCAAAAAGGTGATATCTGTTTTCAAGAGTCTTATATAAATATAAATAAACTGTCTCCCTTCTTATCAAAAAAAAAAAAAAAAAAAGTCGTCTCCCTATTTTTTACATTGCTGATGATTGAAAAACTAAAAATAATAACTGTTTCTTATATCATGTGTCTGTTTCTATGTTAATATACATAATATTTACAATTCTCCATAATGGATCAAATCACTGTGAATAATTTTGGTTAAATCTTAAAATTGTATGCATTCGTTCAAATCTAAACAGAGGAAAGCACATGCGTTTTTAAAATAGAAATTTGTGTTGCATCTTAAAAATTCGCAGATTATCTTTATACACTTTCTTTTTGTTTAAATTATATTTTATGAATTGTAATATTTTACATTGTATTTTAATAACCAATGTATGATGTCAAAATTCTAAATAAGAACCAATTTCATTGGTTTTATTTTTTTCAATATGCTTTTCAGTTTTTGATTTTTCATATTTTCTGAATTTTGGTGATTAAAAATACTGAAATTTTTTCATATTTTGTATTTAAATGATACTTTTACTTGAAAATCTAATATCTAATAATCTAAATAGAATTAAAAAATAAAATATTAGTAAAAAAAATAAAAATTCATGTACTGATTTTTTATTATTATATATTTTTATTGATATTTTTTTTTCTAAAAGGAATACACAACACGTTATTTTTTAAGTGTGTTTAAATTAAGTGAATCTAAATCTAAAAGTAAAATAATAATAAAAAAAAGTATTCAATTAAGTGGATCTAAAAAGAAAATAAAAAGGATAATTAAAAATAAAAATAAAAAACAGTGTCAGAGACCAAAAAAAAAAAAAATTGAAAATAAAAAATTTCAAATCAAAAGTTTGGAAAAACAAACCAAATCAAACACTATAAACCTCTCTTTTTTGAAAATATTTCTTCACTAATCTCTAATTTTACAAAAATATTCACAAATTCCTTTCAATTCTTATATAAATTTAATAATTTAATTAAAAAATGGTGTGTATACACAAAAATGTAATACTCAATATCTACATTATCGCGAACTATTTAATTATGAATAATTAACTTTTTATTGTTACCCGTATTATGTTGTTTGTCAATGTCTACATAAATATATATATATATATATATAAATGCAAATTTATATATGTTACTATTGGATATTTTAATTTTCTAAGATGTATTGTTTTAGTAATAAAGTTATATTTGTTTGGAAAAAACTACGAAATTATGTATTGTTCTCGTATCAACTTATATTCAATATATATATATACATGTCATACAAACAAGTGTCTACATCAAATACTTTTAATAACAAACCAAGACTTTACAAAACACCTCCATCATGACAATAATTGTATTTTTTTTCCTTAAAGAAAAAAATCACATTATTGAGGAAAAATGAATTTTGAAATTCATAATAATATGATATCGTTTCATACTCTTACTCAGCAAAATATTTTTATTACAATGTGTTATAATGGTGAGTTAGAAAAAAAACAAAAAGATAGTGAAACAAAAACTACAGATGATCTATTACAATATGCTCTCCAAGAAAAGTTAGACGAGCTGAAATATGAATTGTCTTATCTGTTGTGAAATTTAAGAAAAATAATGTATGTTATGTGCACATTTTATATTTATAAAATTTATCATTTCTTATTTAGATTCTTGTGTATGGTATGAATTCATTTCTTACTTAATTATATTTTGAATACAAATCAATTTACCCATGTAAGTCTTTGTACATATACTAATTTAAGAGACATACATAATTACAATATTAATAATTAATAAAAAATTACGTGTCACGTGCAACGCACGTGTGCAACGCTAAGTACCATTAAGCGTATGAACAACAACAAGACTATTTGATATGTCCATCAATACCCTACAATTAAAAACGAAAATATAATTACACTAGGGTCAACGAGGTGAATTTTGTTCAACATTACTTTTATTTTTTCTATTTTTGAAATGGAAAATGTCTCGTAGCTCAAATTTTGTGGCTCAAAAGTGGCTCAAATGGCCAAAACGATGTCGTTTTGGTCATTTTTATGTTGTTCTGTACTCAAAACGACGTCGTTTTGACCATTTGAGCCACTTTTGAGCCACAAAATTTGAGCTACGTAGCATTGTCGTTTTGAAATAGACAAATCTTTTTCATTTACCCTCCACTGCTGTAAGGATCTTTCATGCCATTGGGGAAGATGATGTTGCTAGCAAACCTCTTTAGAACTATTTTTATATTCTACAAATTGCATTTGAAAATATTTAAATTTTTACGATGAATAAAGAATTTTTTTTATAAAGGCAACAAATTTATTAGAAAGATCAGCAACAAAAACAGAGAACACCCAATTTTAAAAGTTAGAATTTCAAATTATAAATAGAAAAAATTACACAATTGAGCCGACAATTTGTTTATTGTGCCAATATAGTCTTTTAGTTTCAATTCCATCCAAAAAATAAAAAATAAAAAATTATGTGTGCACTCTAAGTGCCCCAATAGTATACTAAGTCC